GTACCAAGTTTTATTAAAACAAATTACCAAATATAAATTAATCTTATGAGTATAAATTTAGGAAGATCTTAGTCACATACTTGAAGAGTATAGCACCCACAGATAGAGAGAATTTTAACTATTCCATCTGCTTCTAAATGTAGGTCACGCTGCTAATTCTAACTCTGTCCTCCAAAACATCACATACTTCATTCATTCACTCATTCCAGTCACAGAATGTCTACTATGACCTGACCTTTGTAATAGTACTGGAGAAAAAGTAATGGAAATAACCAACATGTCTTACGGACTTCATAGTTCCTCTTATTTGAATTTTATAGAATTTTAAAAATGATATGGAGTTTTCTGCCTGGCCATTCTTTCTGAAGACTCACTTTGTCTGATTCCCTCCAAACAGGAATCTTTATTCTAAATGATTTAGTGATCTCTTCGCTATTTGTGAACTTACTGAAATAACATGGTGTGAAACATTCCAGGTTGACACCAGTCGTCCCAGTGTAATTGGAATTAGGAGGAGGAAAAAAGCACCAACAACAGTAAGAATAATGACAGTCCTACAACCACCATGTGGCATTTGTCACCACTTAGCTAATAAAGAAGATTCTTGAAAATATCAGGGGAAAAAAGTTTTCTCAGCCTTGCCTGACAAACATCCTGCCCTGGAGGCTCAACAGAAGGAATATGCTTTATTAATCATACCGAGAACTGAAAAAGATTCAATGACTCCATAGCCAGACATATTAAAAGATTTCATTCAAACTAAAAAGTGTTTAAGAACGGTATAAAACAGTTAAAATTCCTTTAACAAAATCCTTCCATTAAAGAATGAAAGACCTAGGAAAGGATTACAGAAAGCAATCTTCCTAGTTTCCAAAAGCTTACTTTAAACCATTCTAAATTAATGGAAATCAGTCCTCCAGCGTACTGTACCTAGTGACTTTCACCATAGAAATCCCTATTACATGTACTATTAACACTATCGATTTTTCTATATTATTTGCTAACTGGCATATTCAAGTATTTTGTTGGTATATTTTATTTTAATATCTGATCCAACCAAATCTTTATGAGAAAAGCTAACAAAAAGAAAATATTTTTAAGTTCCCTCTCAATTTGCTATCTATAAGCAAGATTAATGAACAAGGAAATTGAACTAGACAATCTACCAAAAGAATAACAAACAATTCTAACACTTTTTCTCAGTATACATTGTCTCGGTATTACCAGGAAAACTGAAACATAAGCCGACTTTGTTGATTCATTTGAAATTAACACAGCAGGCTAGAGAACCCAGAAACAGACCCACACAAATAAATGATTTTCAACAAAGGGGCAAAACCAATTTAATAGAGGAAGGACAGCCTTTTCAACAAATAGTCTGGAACAACCAAACATCTGCAGAGAAACCAATGAACCTTAACCTAAACCTCACACCTTATACAAAATTTAACTCAAAAATGGATCACAGACCTAAATGTAAAACATAAAACTATAAAAACTTTAGAGAAAAAACCACCAGGAAAAATAATCAGATTCTAGGGCTAAGCAAAGAACACAATCCATAGAAGAAAAAATTGAGAAACTGAATGGCACTGAAATTTAAAATATTTACTCTGTGAAAGACACTGCGGAAAGGATGAAAAGACAAGGTACAAACTGGAAGGAAATATTTGCAAACCACATATCTGACCAAGATCTCATATCTATAAATATAGTTTTTTAAAACTCTTAAAACTAGACAGAAAGAAAAAAAGTACTCCAATTGAATCAGGCATTTCATCAAGGAGGCAAATTAGCACATGAAAAGGCATTCGACATCATTAGCCATTACAGAAATGCAAATTATAAACATGAGATATCACTTCGCACCTATCAAAATGGCTAAAATAATAGTGGCAACAACAAATGGTGGCAAGGATGAGAAGAAACTAGATCACTCACACATTGTTGGTGGGAACGTAAAATGCTATAGCCGCTCTGGAAAATAACTTGGCAGTTCCTTCCAAACTAACCACACACTATCATAGGACCCAGCAACTACAATCCTGGGCATTTATCCCAGAGAAATAAAAACTTACATTTACAGGTTGTTTAACCATTCACCTATTGAAGGACCTTCAAATTATAGTACACAAATGTTCAC